GGACCTCCTCAGACCTGACACACGGAGGACCCAGCGACCTCCAGCTGGGAGGGCCTCCTCAGAGCTGAAGCAGGTCTGAGGAGGAGCTCCACATCCCCACACACGTGACCCATAGTACCCTCAAGCTGCGTGTATCCCGAAGGCTGGTCTGCCGCTCCCTGGTGGTTGACCCAGCACGCTCACAGTTTTTCCTGAGACAAGAGCTCTAGTCCTCACCCTGAAGAAGGGAGGACAAAGATTGAACGTGAGCCACTGTCCCCTGCTACCTGGCCCAGTGTGAGACTCTGCTCATACACTGGGAATCACTCCCTGATGGCCACGCCCAGTGCCAGACTCTGCTCATGCGCAGAAGCACCACTCCATGATGGCCACGCCCAGTGCCCGACTGCTCATGCGCAGAGGCACCACTCCATGATGGCCACGCCCAGTGCCAGACTCTGCTCATGCGCAGAGGCACCACTCCATGATGGCCACGCCCAGTGCAGGCCTCTGCTCATGCACAGAGGCACCATTCCCGATGACCACGCCCAGTGCCAGACTCCTCATGTGCACAGGCACCACTCCCTGGTAGCCACGCCCAGTGCAGGCTTCTGCTAACCTGCGGTGGTAGTAGGGTGGCTAGTCTTTCTTATTTCTCTCAGCGCCTTTCTGTAGCCTCAGCTATTACTGAATAGGATCTATTCCCACTTCTTTAAGTCTGGCTGTGTTTGTTTGTGCCATCACCAGAAATGGAATCTCAGGAGAAGAGAAAAGGGAGGCCAAGAGACTGAGACCCGGGTCCCTGGACTCAACCAGGCCACGCACTGCTGTAGCCAGGGGCCAGACAGGCAGAGGAACAGACATGAGCGCCTGCAGGGAGACCCTGGACATTTCACTCTTGTGCCCAAGGGCAGAAGGCCAAAAGCAGGTCAACACAGAGGCCTCTGCAAAGTGTAGACAAGTGACTGAGTGACTGAGTGATGTAGCCAAGGACTGCCAAATTTTAATGTCATGGGTTTTAAGAAAAGCAGTTAAATCCCAGCCCATGTTGACTGCTTTCAAAGTTGTGAGACCCTGAGCTCATACGACCCCCCAGCAGCCTCTGGGAGCTGCAGGGTGCACCCCTTGCCCTGGGGCATTCTAGATTGAATTATCTTTCCTTGTTTCCCAGATCTCACCATGAATGCCTCTGGGAGTTGCAGTTATTCCCAGAGATTCTTGACAGTCCAATTTGGTGTTCTGCCCACACAGCCCTCACCAGGCAGGATCATCAGAGCTGTGTGCCACATGCTATCTCAAGTGCCATGGAGGACCCTGGCAGTGGAGACTGGTGTTCTTCCCATGT